TTGTTGCTGCCTCCTAGGCTTAAAACTCAGTTTAAATAGGTCTCAAGAACATATTGTGGGCCTGTGTTATTATAATACTTCTGCCTTCTCCCTAAAAATCCCTCCTTTTATAATAGGCTTCTGTATTCCCTTAAAGGTTTTCAGTTCTTTTATGTAATTCTCAGTCTTTTAAAATAGGTGAGCCTTCTTTCCTTCTATACTGTATTCACTCAAAAAATATTGTATTTTTTTTTTAAAAAAAAAACCTTATGTCAATTATGTTTATGTTTAAAAGGAGATCTTTATTGTTTTCACATTAATTATAGTTTACATTTACATTTCTACATTAAAAATCTGACTGGAGTGAAGGTTTAAAAAGCTATCCCTGCATCTTTGTTTTGAACTGTTCCTTACACACCCACTGAAGGGAAATAAATGAGGTTAAATACACCCACACCCACTGGAAGGATGCTAGAAACAAAACTTTTATCCACAAATAAACTAAAATCCACTCATTCCTGTCAATAATACCCAAATCCATTAACTGCCACCCACAATATTCCACAACAGATCTCAGATTTATTTTAAAAAAAGAGACAGTACAACTGTTAGAATCTTTAATCAATCAATCAATCATTATGGTAGTAGACGAACATAAGTTAGGGTCGTCTTTAAAACATTTTATTCCATCAGAGACCCTTAAAACTATCAGGTTGTACTCTATGGATATGCCATCCTCCCACTGCCAGATTTCTAGGAACAAAATTCATGGCCCAATGGCCTTTGTGTAATTTAAACCACCTGGTGCCCAGGTTCTGAGTTTCTACCCAAGGAGAACCCTCTTTTTCAGGCACAGTAGAACAGATGGTGCCCATGTAGTTGCTTCAGTGTAAATTTAATCTCATATCAGTTTTTGGGCTTCCATATCCATTTCATCAGATATGCAATTCTAAATAATAAATAATAAATAAATCCAATCACTGCTTTTGAAGTAGGATTGTTGTTGTGTGCCTTCAAGTAATTTCTGACTTATGGCAACCCTAAAGCAATCCTATCACAGAGTTTTCTTGGTGAGATTATTCAGATACCTTTTACTTTGCCTTCCTCCGAGGCTGAGAGAACATGATTTGCCTGGAGTCATCCAATGGGTTTCCATGGCTAAGCCAGGATTCAAACCCTGGTCTCCAGAGTCTCAATCCAATGTTCAAACCACTACACCACAATGGCTCCTTGAAGCAAGGTGGCCAGTTATGTATTGTCAAAAACAAAGGGGAAAAGAGGACATGGATCTTACATACATCTGCCTGAACAAATGCCACTATATACTTCTATATATAGCAGCAAAGTTAGAAATGATTAATATAATTAAAATAAAAATTAAATGCATTCATAGTGGGGAAGACTATGGTTAATGATTCTGCATGCTTATTCAATTTGCTGTCCAGGAGCCAACTCTTAATGGACAAACTCTACCCTCCCCCTTCTTATAGTGCTTTATCTTTAAATTGAAGCTGGACAAGACAATCTTTCAAGCAAAGGGTGTTTTAGATACACGAAAGTCCTGGGTAAAGCAGGCCATCTAATCAAAATGACTCCATCCCAACTATAAATCTCTTTGTGATTCAAATTTGAATTCTGCTGTTGTCATGTTTTTGTGCAATTGATGCCAACAAAACTTGTGAAGTGCTGGTAGTGGAAAACATCATTCATGTTCGGAAGGCAAATATAGGTGGCCCTCCGTATCCACGGATGCTTTATCCACAGATTCAACCATCTATGACCTGAAAATATTCTCTCTCTCTCTTTATATATATATATATATATATATATATATATATATATTCCAAAAAGCATTTAATTTTACTATGCCACTGTATTTTATGGTACTGGAGCATTCATGAATTTTGATATCCACAAGGGATCCTGGAACCAAGCCCCAGCAGATACCAAAGCTCACTATACTTTTATTCGGTCTTGAATGGAAACATTATCCTCAGTATGGTTTATACTCTGTAGCTGAAGAGTGGCATCACTGTAACAGTACAGATATCAACAGAGAGGGGCTTGTTTTCTCTTTGCAAATTAAGACCTGCCATGCTTTCAGTCTTGTACTGACCTTCATTTCAATCACGTGCTGGTTTACCTTTTGAACACTGTCCTTTACTCTTATATTAGGAAGAAATTTCTCAGCTCACAGCAATTCCTCACACTCCCACAAGTTCTAAAAATGAGACTGATACAGAATGTATTTATGTAACAATTCTCAGCAGTCATCCCCCCCTTTCCTAGCTACAACAGACATAGAAAAGCAGAATTTTCCCTGGTAGAATTTAATCCTTTTTTTAAACTGTTGTTGTTGGATTTGCAAAATCATCCATCATTTTTCTGCCCTCCTGTAACCTTACAAACACATATTGTTCAACAAAGTTGAAGTAAGTAATATCTTCACATTGGACAAGAGCAACTGAATGCTTCGTGGGTACCACATACACAAAGCAGACACACACCTTTCCCTGTTATCTCATATTAATGACTGCGGTCTTTGTAAACATTCATTCTGTTTCTGAAATTCCATCCTTCCTTTTTTTATATTGACATCTTTTTTTTAAAAAATGCCTCAAAGATTAAGCCACTCCAAATATAGGCTGCAAGGAAAGAGCTGTTTCCCCATTGCTTCAGATTCCAAAGGTTTTTCACATGATGCTTGCTTTCTAGCTCATTAGATCCAAGGTATCCTAAAGTGGAAGGAGAAGAACAAACAGAAAACCCTTAATAGGGAACTGGAGTTATGCGTTTGCTTTCTGAATGGCTACTGTAATGATTCTACATGCATTTCCGATTTAATATAAATGGCCTTTCCTTTTATCCTTATTGCTTGCAAACCTTTTCCCCCTCCCATCCAGTCATGTGAATACATTACCTGCCTGCTTATATAACCACATCATGAACATACATTTCAATTGCCCTGATTTGGCAGGGACGGTCCCAATGCCATCCCTTTTTTAGTTGCTTTTAAAATGCTGCAGTTTCTCTCTCCTCCTCCCACTTAGCCCTTCATTCTGGTGCAAACTGTGTTCAAAGTGCAAAAGTAGTTGACATTCAACTGACTCAGTAGGAGGGGAAGAAGAAGAAGGAGAAAGAGGAGGAGGAATCATGCTCTTCCCAGTAGATTCAGGCAAAAGCAAACTGCTGCAGCCTCTCCTAGCTTGTGTGTTCTTCCTCATGAATAACTTTTGTCATCCTGACCACATTCTGATGGTGCTTGGGCACACCTGGTTTTCATCTATGAAATGTTGGAGGGTATGCATGCACAGGATGAAGGGGACTCCAGTCTATGAAAGCTTATCTCCTTGTGGCTGTGTCAAGATACTACATGTTTTGCTACAACAGAATTAACGTGGCTACCCTTCTGGAAATTCTTCTCCTATCTACGTAATTCAAAGCTACACAAGAGACTATAGATGACTCAAGACTTTTGTACGGATAGAACAGAAAATGGGCGCCTCATTCATGTCAGTTACTAATCAAAGCCAGTCAGGTTTATTCTAGCATAAAAGACAGAGGTATTCCATACAAATATCTGTCTCCTTTGCTAGCAGAAAAAGTTATAATTTATTGTGTGCCTTCAAGTTGTTTCTTACTTATGGTGATCACAGGGTTTTCTGGAGCTGTAAAGTGTATGACTTGCCCAAGGTTAACCAATGTTTCCATGGCCAAATGGAGAATTGAACTATACCATACCTGCTCTCAGAATATATCAGTAGATTTTAAAAACTATAATTTGCTGCCTTTTCAAGACAAAAATATACTTCCTGAGGATATCAGATGTTACCTTATAATGGGAATTTTTTTTGCAAAGTTACAGATGTAAATCTTTCACTATATAATTCTTGTTGGGGGGGGGGACTCCCCATGTTTGGATATCTCAAAGTGTTGCAGATAAATTATTCTGAAATAGGTGTGTTTCCTCGCCCCCTGTAACTCTGGAATAATAATAAAAAAGACTCAATGGAAATTGGTGAAAATCCATTACATAATGGATATAACAGGAGGAGGAGGAGTAGCACTTGAATACTATGTCAATTGCCATAGCTGTGTCCTACAGAATTATTAAAAGAAATTGTTAAAATTAAAAATACAAATGTAAAAGAACAACAAATGAAGATGATTGCAAAATGGTATAGGACGCTATATCAATTAGCATTTATAAATGATAAATTTCAGTCAAAATGTTGGCATGGATGTGGAGCTAAGCAAATACCGTATATATACATATGTGGTGGGAATGCCCATTTGTTCAAGAATTTTGGATAGAAGTTAAGGAACAGATAAATACAATAATAGGGATAGAGATACAATTAAGCAAAGAAAATTGTTTAACTCTTAATTTAGGAGAATCAGGATTGAATAGTAACCAAAGATATGTAATAAAACAAATTCTAAAAGCTGCCCATGCAGTGATTGCTTTTGGGTGGAAAAAGAAATTGAATAGGAATATATTTGTTTAAATATATAAAAGAATATATATTATTTGATTTTCTTAGAGAAAGAAGACTTTGGTGCAGGGGTAGGCAACCTAAGGCCCGGGGGCTGGATGCAGCCCCCCGAGGCCTTTGAACCGGCCTGCTGCCTGCCGCCCCTGCCCGCCATGATGATATTGATTATTGTTGTTATTACTTGTTCTTGGGGTTTTCTTCACAAAATCTCCACAGGGTTTTTGCCATGGGTTTTCTGGGGCTGAGAGAGTGTGCGTGCACATTTTTAAATTTTTTTAAATTAAATTTTTATTTATTTATTTATTTATTTATTTTTGGTGCTTCGGCCCCCCAGTTGTCTGAGGGACAGCAACCCAGCCCCCGGCTCAAAAAGGTTGCCTACCCCTGCTTTGGGGCACTGCAGACCAGCATAAAGGGCTGGCCTGGGAGTGGAGTTGGGGCAGGGCAGCCGCACGCCGGCCGCCTCAACCCCACCCTGACGCCGTCCTGATGCCGCGCATCCTTACACATGGCGCATTACATCAGGACACCCTCCTGGAACAGCGTGTAGCCACGCTGCGCCAAAAGGGCATGGAAGAGCCACAGCACCGGCTCTTAGGATGGCCTTTTGCTGGTCCCAAAAGGAGCAGCATTTTGCCAGTCTTTTGGGGGCAGCAAAAGGGAGGATCGGGGCCGTGGCATGGGGTTGCCATGGCCCCAATCCGCCCCTAGCAAGGGTGGCCCAGACCTGCCCGAAATGGGCCATCTGTAGAGGCCCTTAAATATATTGGGGAAAACAATAAAGAATCATGGAGAGATAAATAAGAAATTGTGATTAAGAAAGTGAAAGATAAAATGGGGTATGAAGAAGTAAAAAATATAATTAATGATATTTTCCACATCTCAAAAAATGATTGTTAATTTTTGTTAATCAAATAATTGTTAATTTAAATGGAATATATTTTCTCTAAATGGTGTTTGTGGGAAGGGTGAGGGGGGAGAAAAGCATATTATGAATTATGGATTGAATAATTTGTACTATCTTCTGCGTTAATAAAAAAAATTTAAACTAAAAAAAATTAAAAAATTCTGCTGAAGGATATGTATGTTTCTGATATGAAAAA